TATATATATATATAGACACATATATATATATATATATATATATATATTATTTATCCAAAAGCATTTCAATAGGTGATTTTAAAACTGTTTTCAATTAAGCAAAGGATGAAGGGATTAACAAATTACAAAACATTTTGCCTACTTTATTTGGAGATTACCAATTAAACATAACTTTATGGATTTGCTTGATTAAAAATAGTTTATATGTAGTAAGTTTTGATTTATCTTGTCTTATCCAACACTCTGAAAGTTTAACGCGTGTTTGAGTCTTGATGAACGTTACTGACTCCCCCTTACCTTCCCCCTCTTCCATCATGGCCTTAGGCTGAGTGAGAGCAAAACACTGCATCGTCTCATACCGCGGTCCTCCTGGCCCCTCCTCCATGGGGCCGTGGGCGTGGCCAAATTTGACCAGCATCCGGCAAGTGAAGGTGTGACTCTTCTGCCGGGCTGCCTCGTTTCCCCACGACACGCCATTGACTGAAACAAGAGGCACACAGACAAAGAGAAAGTTAGCCACACTGGGGCGTAGAGAGGAATGAAGGCCAAGCTGCGAACGGACCGCCTGTAATTAAATCTCACCAGCGGCTCACACCCAGTCCCCACATACACACAACTACAAACCAACCAAACAAACAAACAAAAAAAGAAAAAGCACCGCCGCATGTATTGTCTCTGGAAAATTGAGAAGCTAAAGCCTCTCCCACTGTCTGGATCTCTGGCTAAATGGACCATGGGATTAATGTAGCCTAGGTGTCGATTTCCAATATTTCTCCCTCTCGGTCTGCTCTGCAGTGGGCAGAGGCCGGGACACTCAGCCATCTATCCTCATTTAGACCCTGACTACTCATCACACACACACACACACACACACACACACACACACACACACACACGCACGCACGCACGCACACACACACACACACACACACATGCACGCTTTAGATGGGGTCACCTTCACAGAGAAAGAGAAAAGGGAGGCAAACTTCAGACACATCCAACTGTTCTCCAAGGTCTGTGTGGAGCCTTATCGGGGCTTCGAGTCAGCCAAAGGTTTCTGTCTGGCAGGTGCAGGGAGTAGAGCAGGAAATATCTGAGTGGGATGGGAGGGAGTGGGTGATATTTGAAGGTGATTTAACAAAAACTGGGATTACCCTTCATCGCAGAGGAAAAAACCCTGACAAGGCAAACACAATCAGTCAGTCAAGAAAAAGCAAATGCCATATTTTCCGGCATTTAAGTTGCTTCGGCGTATAAGTTGCATTTATTATGCATCACTGCTGACCCGTCGCATTTATTTAATGGTCAAAACAGCTTAATTTTGCCTGGGCAACACAGCGCGCGCCATCCGTCCGTCCGTCCATCATGGCCAGAGCCGCTAGTTCTCCAGCATGCCTCCGCCTGCACCAGCTGAGTGAAGCGAGAGCACAGGAGGACTTGCTGTTGCAGTTCTTAGAAATTAAAAGTGTCAGTCAAAAATTGCGTTATGAATATGGAAATAAAACTTATATAAGTCGCAGGACTGACAAATCTATGCAAAAAAACTGCGACTTATAGGTGGAAAATACGGTATGTGAAAAACATAAGAGCTAACATTGTGTGTGTGTGTTGGTTTAACTGTAACTGGTAGCGGTCATCCCACAGGAATGTGCAGCAAGAGCAGATTTCATTCATGGCCCAAAAAGATAATGAAGGGGAAGAGCAATGGAGCAAGACCCACCGAGGGGTGGGAGAGGGCGGCTTGAGGAGCAGACAACCACAATGTTCATCCTCGTAGGCGGCGGCACCAACGGCGAAAGAGGAAGAGGAGAAGCAAGCCGAGAGAGGCACCAGGGACGCTGAGCGCACGAGTGGATAAAAAGCAACGTTACATAAAGAAAGGAGGGATGGGTGAATGACGGAGGGGAATAACTGAGAGAATGTGTCAATGAGTTGTGTGTTGCGTTATTCAAATGGCTGATTCAGTCGAGCACAAAAGCAAAACACACCCCAAAATGTGTCAGCCAGCATTTTTCAGAACAGAGTTTTAAACCAACTACTCTTATGTTGAGAATTCAATTCAATTCAAAAATACTTTATTAATCCCAGAGGGACACTAAATGTTGTTGTAACTCATCATCCTGGTTTCATTAAAGAGTTGTTCTAGATGCTGATGGCTGTGGGCAGGAAGGATCTCTTGTAGTGGTCTGTTCTACAACGGATCTGGAGAAGCCTCTGACTGAAGACACTGTTGTTGTATGACAGTCTGATGAAGAGGATGCTGAGGGTTGTCTATAATGTTCTTCATTTTATGAAGAATCCTTCTTTGAACAATCATCTCCAAAGGTTCTAGAGGAGTCCCCAGAACTGAGCCAGCCTTCTTTATGAGCTTGCCGATCTTTTTAAAGTCACTTGCTCTGGTGCTGCTACCCCAGCAGATTATGGCAGAAGAGATGGCACTCTCTACAACAGACTTATAGAAGATCTGCAGCATCTTGCTGCAAACGTTGAAGGACTTCAGCTTCCTCAAGAAGTACAGTCTGCTCTGTCCCTTCTTGTAGACGGCTTCACTGTTGCATCTCCAGTCCAATCTGTTGTCCAGGTGAACCCCAAGGTATTTATACTTGTCCACCACCTCCACTTCTTCTCCCATGATGGAAATTGGGTTGGACCTGTTCCTGTTTCTCCTGATATCTACAATCATCTCCTTTGTTTTGTTCACATTCAAGATGAGATGATTGTTTCCACACCATGCCACAAAGCGGTCCACCAGTTCCCTGTACTCAGCTTCTTGTCCATCTCTGATACACCCGACCACTGCAGAGTCATCTGAATATTTCTGCAGATGACAGGAGTCTGTTTTGTATTGGAAATCTTAGGTGTACTGAGTGAAAAGGAATGGTGAGAGTACAGTCCCCCTGTGGTGCTCCTGAGCTACTAACCACCTGGTTAGACAAACAACCCTTCAGTCTCACAAACTGTGGTCTGTTTGTCAGGTAGTCTTTGATCCAGGTGATTGTTGAGGCCTCCACCTGAGTCTTCTGAAGTTTCTGACAAAGCAAATCAGGCTGAATTGTGTTAAATGCACTGGAGAAATCAAAGAACATGACTCTCAAAGTGCTGTCTGCCTTTTCTAGATGACAGTGAGTTTGTTGAAGCAAATGTATGATGGCATCTTCAACTCCAAGTCCTCGCCGATAAGCAAACTGCAGTGGGTCCTGATATGTGCTTGTTTGTTTAGTCAGGTGGGCCAACAGGAGTCTCTCTAGGACCTTCATGATGTGGGATGTCAGGGCAACAGGTCTATAGTCATTGAGGACTGATGGGTGAGTTTTCTTTGGTACTGGAACAAGGCAGGATGTTTCCCACAACACTGGAACCTTCTCCTGGGTCAGGCTAAGGTTGAAGAGGTGCTGCAGAACCCCACAGAGCTGCTCTGCACAGACCTTCAGGACTCTGGGACTGAAACCATCTGGACCTGCAGCCTTATTCCGGTTCAGTCTCTCTAGCTGCTTCCTCACCTGACTTCTAGAGACTCAGAGGGGGGAGGCAAAGGAGGCATCAGCACTTCTGATTTGGTTGAAGACCAACAAGTAGAAGAAGGGTCCATGACCGAGGTGGTAGATACAGTAATTGAGGTGTGACAGGACAGCCTTGGGTCAATGGAGGGTGGTATGTCTGTTTGGCTGTGGGCAAGAGAGGAGGATGCTGAGCTTGTTCCTGAACTGAACCTATTGAAGAACATGTTCAGTTCATTGGCTCTGTCCAGGCTTCCATCCTTCTGATCCTCCTTCTGCTTGAAGCCTGTGATCTTTTTCATCCCTGACCACACCTCTCTGATATTGTTCTGTTGGAGCTTGCTCTCCAGCTTTTTCTTGTACACATCCTTGCTGTTTCTTATCTTGACTTTTAGTTGCTTCTGTGTACTCCTCAATAATTCCCTGTCTCCCTCCCTGAAGGCTATTTTTTCTGGTTTAGCAGTTCCTTCAGGTCAGTGGTGATCCAGGGTTTGTTATTGGGGAAGCATCTCACTGTTCTGGTGGGGATGGTGTTGTTTACACAGAAGTTTATATAGTCGGTCACACACTCAGTCATGGCATTGATGTCCTCTCCATGTGGCTGGCACAGTGCATCCCAGTCTGTAGCCTCAAAACAACCCCGCAGAGCTTCTTCAGCTTCCATTGACCATTTTCTCACTGTTTTCTTTATTGCAGGTTACTTTTGAACAATGGGTTTATATTTTGAGCAGATAAACACAAGATTGTGATCTGATTTGCCAGGAGGGGGTCTTGCTTTAGGGATGTACTGTATGAATCCTTGACATTTGCATAAAACAAGTCCAGCGTTTTGTTTTCTCTGGTAGAGCAGCTGACAAACTGTTCGAATGTCGGAAGTGTAGCAGAGAGTGAGATATGATTAAAATCCCCAGATATTGCAACAAACGCACTAGGGTGTTGTGTCTGTAGCTTCGCAACCTCGGAGCTGATGACATCACACGCAGTCTCGGCAACAGCATTGGGTGGAATGTAAACAGTTGCCAAAATAACACAGGTGAACTCTCTTGGCAAATAATATGGATGACAACTTGGTGCTAACAGTTCAATATCTGGACTGCAGCAACGAAACTTCACAGTAACATGTCCAGGATTACACCATCTGTTGTTCACAAGCACTGCCAACCCTCCTCCTTCTTTTGCCACTCCTCTTTAAATCTCTAACTGCTCGTATAGTCAGAAAGCCCGGCAGAGAAACGCTGGAGTCTGGGGATATGATCCTGCAGCCATGTCTCAGTGAAACACATAATACTGCATTCCCGATACTCTGGATGAGTCCATGTTAGGGCTTGAAGTTCATCCAACTTGTTTCCCAGCGATCTCGCATTGCCCACCATGATCGATGGAAGAGATGGTTTGAACTTCATTCTTCTCTCTTTCTCTTTCTTCTTTGCTCCTGCTCTGCATCCACGACGCCTCCTTTTCAACTCATTTGACATTTGGGGCTGTAGTTGAGATATTATTTGAGCTTTGGAGATGTTAATCAGTTGCTCCCGGTTGTAAAAAAACAACCTTGTTGTTATGGTTACGCATCATAACAAATGTCCAAAAGCAAAGAAATTTCTGTAAAAATCCTTCCTTTACAGCATCTGACACCAGAGGAAATAATCATCCAAAAAAAGTGCCTTATATCCTGAAGAAATAGGAATGAAAGTTTTCAAAAGTAATATCTCAGAATGAAAGTAACAGCGCTACTCCAACATGCAGCCACCTTGAGCAGCGCAATTCTAGAAATGACAAAGTTAAGGTTGCTTTGATGAAATCTCGAAATGATTTCATGTAAAATTGCAGGTGATGATATCAAATCCATTAGCAGGCAGAATATGTGTTGTGAATGACTATCAGCTACTACCATATCAAATTTTAGCTCAGTATCTGTAAAATTATCTGAATTACAGCCATTTTTGTGTTTGATAAATTCAATTATCTGTGATGGCCAACTTTAATTGGACTAACTCTAAAAGTTAATCAGTTGTAGGTGTTCATTCAATCTTCTCTTTCTAAGATATTCATTAAGCTCTGCCTAGCGGTTCACAAGATATTTTGCTAACAGACAAATAGGTTTGACTCCGACAGTTATTGCCAAAGTGTTAAGCAAAGATCTCACACAATTCAGAGCGGTGAGCAGTCCGTGTTGAGTATGACTCTCAGCTACTCCCACACCAAATTTTAGTTCAATATCTGCAAAACCGACAGCTATAAACAATTTCCTGTCTTTCAAGTCAGTTGACTATGACGTCCATTTTGAATCGAGTTGACTAAGAAGGATAATCAGTTGAAGGTGTACATCTAAGTGTATTTACTCAAGTAGCTGAGCATCGGTCAGGTTGAAAAATAAAACAGCTGAAAACACGGGGCGGTGTGCAGGTGCATTATTCAGCAGGTGAAGTTTGCACATGAGATGTGAACAGAGCCTGTTTTACACTGTCTGGACCACTGAGTGTGACTGACAGCTGCGCTGCGCTCTGCCTGCTTAGTGCCGAGTGTGTGTGTGTTTTTTGTCAGGTGTGTGTGTGCACATGAGAAGGCCTCCCAGGAGCTCCTCATTACAGGGAGAAACAGAGTGGAAGAGTGTGAATATGTAAGTGAGGTGGTGCAACCTCTCCAAGTTTGGTTCTGGAGGAAGATGGTGAGCATGTGAAGAAGAGTGCGTGTGTGTGTGTGTGTGTGTGTGTGTTTGCTCACTGATGGACTTGGGCAGGTTCTTGTGAAACTCCTCTCTGTCGTCCTCGTGCAGGATGTTGTACACGCTGGTGTTGATGAGCTCCTCTTGTTTGTACTGCAGGTACTGCGTCACATTGTCCGACACGAACACGATGCTGCCCTCCCGGTTCACCACGAACAGGAAGCCGTCCAGAGCCTGGGGGCACAGCGGCAGTGTCGGGGGATGGGGGGGGGGGGGGGGTGTGTGTGTCACTAAACAAAAGCACGAGGACAACGTCCTCCGATGGACAGGAGGCTGAGAGGTGGACTCACCTGCAGCAGAAGAGGCCCCAGGTGGTCCTTGTCGATGACGCCCTGACCGGTCGAGGACACGTCTGACTTCTGGACGTCGTCATCGTTGGATGAAGCTTTTCCTGTGGGAGAAAAAACAGAAGGAAGAGAAGAAGCATTAGAAGAAGAAGAAGAAGAAGAAGAAACGAGGTGAGAGCCACAATACCTGAAAAGAAACTTGAGCAAACTCACAGCTCAGCCTTCACCAGCAGGGGGCAGCGTTTCTCAAGCTTCACATATGTTTGGCTTGAGAACGAACGGGGGAGGAGGGGGGAGGGTGTTAAAACTTCAGGTGAGGAGGGAGACGGTCGGTTTCCCGTCAGGAGGAGTAGAAGGCTGGGTGCATGTGGAGCAGGTAGCTGCTGTCCCCATGCTTTATATTCAGTGTCAGACGGTGAGGGATAGTCTGGTAGGCTGGGGCTGAGAGAGAAAGGATGGGGGGAGTGTGTGTGGAGGGGGGGGGGGGTGTAGGAGAATCTTTGGAAGCTGTAATGGTGCAGGGGCAGAAGCTGAGGCACCTGAATTATCCGAGGGGCTGAGACGGAGAGGAAATAAGAAGAAGAGGGGAAAGAAATGTCTGAGGGATATGGAGAACAAATGGTGGTCAGGTTGTTGTAGAAACGAGGGATTTGGTCTGAGAGAAAGAGCCGGGGGCTGCTCGACTACAGGAATTATTCTGTCTGATTAGCTCCCAAGGGGCGCAGATACCCACACAAAGGAGAAACAAAACGAACGTTACTGACAACAGTCAGGAAGTTGGGTAAGGACTGAAAGACGAGGGGGGAAAAGAGACCGAGAGACATTGTTTAATATCCATCGACGCTGTGAGTAAACCTCCGTGTGCAGCCGAGCATGGAGACAAAAACACAAAACAAGTGAATGATGGAGAAGAGGAGGAGAAAAAAAAAGAAGACTGGCAAGTGAGAGCAGCTGAAAGCAAGAGAGGAAGAGCAGGTAGAGGAGTCTAAACGCCTGTGTCATTTCTGTCTTCACTTCCTGTAACTATGGCAACCTGTCAGCAGCCAGTCAGGGCCGGCCGTTGCCTCTTCCCCTTCCTGTTGAGGTTGAAGACACTGACTGAGACATCATGGGCTCTCATCCCTGATCTGCTGAAAGTTCACCCCGAGTGGAAACCCCCCACTGCTTCAAATCCAGGACTGCAGGGCAGCGTCTCAGCCTGCAGGATTTATTTTACTGCAGAGGATAAAGTGACCACAGCAGCCGTAACGGAGATAATAATCTGGCAGTTTAGCAGAGTGGACGGGCATGTGAATACCTGCAAACATCCAATTAGAAGCTGGCGAGGTCTGCAGGCAGCTGTGCACGATCACACAGGTTCACAGCTCACAACCAGAGTTCCCACCAAAACCTGTAGGGACTGTGAAATGTGTGGGAGACGACCGACTGGTTCGTCCGCGCACCTTTTTGTTTGCTCCGCGTTTTTACCGTCTGACCCCGGGCGTCAGTGACGTGGGGGCGACGGCGTCCACTCACCCTGCTCCTTGATCTGACGGATCTGGCGCACGGTCTCTTTGAGGATGGCACATTTGTCTGGTTTGACGTTGAAGCTGTCGATGTCGCTGAGGTTGGCTGAGATCAGCTCCGCCAGCTCCTCAATGTATTTACTCTCCTGCTCCCGACGCTTCCTCTCACACCTGTGGGGAAAGGAGGCGCAAAGATTAGAACCAAACTAAGAAAACTTGAGTTTTTAGGTGGTCAGTGAGCTCCCTGCATCTGAAAACGATGTCCGGCGGTTCCAGTTACAACTAACTGACATTAAGCAGCACAACGGTGGCTCTAATTCAGTTTTAAAGATGTTAGGTTGAAGTTTGATAACAGCTGAGAGATTTTAATAAAATAACCTAGAAAGTGACATCTGTCGATGTCACATGAGCAGTGCTGGGATGTAACTAAGTACAAGTATTTTGTTACTGTACTTGAGTACATTTTTCATGTATCTGTACTTTACTTAAGTGAAGTTAAACGTGGGTACTGTCGACTTTTACTCCACTACATTTTACATTAAGTAGCTGTACTTTCTACTACACTACATTTCTATAATGTGTTGTGTTACAAGTTACATTCACGTTGCAGTTTTTTGATTTGTTTGTGAGTTTGAAAGTAACGAATGGTGAGAGGGGAGTTGGTCCATTGAATCCCTGCAAAGTGGGCAGGTAACGTTAGACCCACCTTCAAGAACAGCTGGGCCAATGACGTATATTCTAGTTTATACATCACTGATCTGGGTGCACCCACAGCACAACTAACACATCCATAATGAATTCCACTGTGGAGTCAGCCAGAAGATACGCTCCACCCATGGCCTTATTGAAAAACTATTGAAAGACTATTGAAAGATTATTGAAAGACCATTGAAAGACTGTTCAGTACAGCAGAACAGATTATCTCTCCTGAGACAGACTGGACTCAAAAACTTTTTAAAACTAAATTCTTCTGAACAACAAAGTCCATGCTGCAACACCAAGTGTTTCCTTGACTGATGAAGCCTTCCGGATTGAAGGCGAAATGTTTCAGCACAAAAAAAAAAGAAACTGTCCAGATGACCTGAGTGAAAAATGTTGAACTTCTTCTGAACTTGAAGAAAAAATTCTTGCTGCAATATTAAAATGTGTCAGTTCATGATGTTAGGAGACAAGAGATGTCTCCAAATGACTCGACACTCGGGTCCAAGTTTTGAAAATGGTGTCAGAAAGTTAAAATATTGTTCAATATTGATCCATTACAAGGTTGAATAGACAGTATTTTAACTGGAGTTGATGACAAACTGGAGTTGAAATGATCAGATATTCCTTTGTCAGGTCTAATGCTCCTTTTTTCAGACAGACAACTTTTACTTAAATGTTTTTACTGCAGTTAAAATGACACGTTGGTTTTTCTTTGTGTTAAATAAAAGCTTTCAAAGGTATAATCATTCCTCTTTCTTATTTTGATTAATGGTATTTAACTCTGCAGGTCATCCCTGAAATTCTGACGCACAGAATCACAAGTCCAAGTGTGAACTGTGTCACAGAGTAAACACAATAAAAACATGTATTATCTGCAGCATTGATCATTAAAATGACACCATTAATGTATTACAGAAAATATACATAAGGTAGGTACACTTAATGATATTGTAGACCATTGCATTAGGTAATACATTCAGCAAGTACTTCTACTTTTACTAGAGTACATTTTTGTCTGTTTATTTGTACTTTTACTTAAGTTTGAGTATTTTCTCCACCACTGCACATGAGTTAGCACAAAACCTTAATTTCAAGGTTCCACTACAACAGCTTCAACTTGATAATTTCTCAACAGAAGATTATTTTACTGTAGATTAAACTCTGGCCTGACAAGCGGCAGGAGATACGAATTCCTTCAAGGACTGCAAGGCACCAACTTTTTTTATATTTCCTACAAAAGGTCTTTATTTTAATTCTTTGCCGTTTCAATCATAAAAAAGACCAGAAGAAACTTATTGTGCTCTCACAGCAGCTGTTCGTCCGAGGCTTACTTTTTACTGTGTTTCTGTCTGCTTCTCATTAAGGGTGCTGTCAGGGAGTGAGGGACACAGGCGTGTGGTTACCATGGTGATTGTAAAGCACTAGTGACTGCAGCTTTGTTTTCATCTTGGTTCTCTTATACAGCTTAAAGCTCAAAATGAAGACATTTATTTTCTTAGATTAGATCATTTCCAGAAGTTGATGTAGAAACTTGAGGCAGGAGCTGCACTGAAGCCCCTTCAAGTATCATCAGAAGCGTTAATGCGTTTACTTTTATCTGTAGACAGAAACATTCGGAAAAGGTCATAAAATAATTTATGCAGAAATAAATTCTTGAAAAAGTCAGATCTTGAGATTTTGAAGACAGCAGAGCCTCTTCATGCTTAGATGTTAATGATCATCAGCTTCCAATCCAGCCTAGGATTTGGCTGGAGAAACCACTGACCCACTAGCCCACTTTCCTGCATTCCCCCCCACACGCACACACACGCGCACCCCATCATCCTCTCATGCACTGATCTCACTCACCCCAGGCCGGGCGTGTCGCAAGTGGAGAGCTTGCGTTTCCGGTTCTCTGAGCTGAGAGGCTCCATGGAGTTCTCCCCCAGTCCGCTCATCGTGAACACATATCAGCACCTGCTGGGAAGGAGCGTACACACACACACACACACACACACACACAGACACACACACACACACACAGACACACACACACACACACACACAGACAGAGACACACAGGTGTAAATAAGGCAGAAAGTGAACATGAGTATTTAGGCTCTCTTGGTGTTTTGAGTTGGTTTATTTCAGCTAATTAAGAAAGGAAGAAGACATCGATCCTCTTGAACTCAGCCAAAACACCTCAAACAGAAGCAGGCCGTGAAGTGGCACACAGGAGGGTAAAACATGCTTATAACATGCACATCATATTCTCCTGGCAGCCGCTGGCTAACATAAACAAGTCTCATCCTCCTCCTATTTGCAGAACAGAAGCATGTGAGGTTGTGCTTGTTTCTGTGTGTGAGGACCTGTGCATGCACGAGTTCATCAGCTCATTTGGTCCGTACACACACACACACACACACACACACACCCACACACCATCACACACACACACACACACACACACACACCGGATTAGCAGTGTCTCTGATGATAAGCCACGGTGCACAGCTAACCTCGTTAGACAGGCATCCCGCTCTCTCCCATAATGCATTGCACCTGTCTCCAGGAAGTGAGCTGATGCAGGTTGTGGGGGTAAGAGAGGCAGATGGGATGAGAGGAGAGCGAGGAAAAATGGAGGAGAAGGAATGGAAGATATCGGCGAGGGACAGGGAGGAAGGGAGTGAGAAGCCGGCGCTGTGAAGCGAGAGCTGATTGGTCACTTGCTTTGCTACGGTGACAGCAGCCGACACTTGGGAAAGGTAGGAGGGGAGGGAGGACAGTACATCAGCGAAGCGTGGTGGGAGACAGAGGATGGAGGGAGGAAGTGCAGAGGGAGGGGATAGAACGAGGTAATAGGAGCGAAAAGAGACGGGGACAGAGGGAGCGAGCTGAGAGAGAGAGATAAAGGCATGTCACAGAAAAGATGGGAGGAACAGGTGAGAGGAGGAGGTGTAACACTCAGACCTTCTGGACTATGTTTTGGATGCTCGTGCACATAGTGGGCTGAACGCCTCAGTGCCCCTCTTAACCTTCGCAGTCAGAGCAGCTTTTTCATTCCATTGATTACATGGTTATCCTCTGACCAGAGCACTGCCGCTGCTGCATAACAAATCAGGCCAGCGGCAGGGGAGAGACGCTGTCTGGTATTTATCCACATCATCTCTGGCTCCTGTGTGGGATCAGACAGCTTCATGAAACCAACTGACTGGAGTTCATTTAGGTAGTTTGTGTACGGACAGGGAGGTTCTCCAGTCTTACCAGGCAGAAACAGGTGATAGACCTTCTTACTGAGGCCGAATCAATAATCAGTATGAGAGCTGCTTCATGCATGCTGTCAAGACAAACGAGGTGCTGTTTTTTGTCATGCAACAACAGAATCCTCATGTATCTTCTTCTATAAAGCACAAGACACTGTGAAAAGTGTTGCTCCGTCCCTCCCACTTTGAGTTGCTTTCAAATTTCTGCTTTAATCTCTCCCTGGAGTCCCTCCCATCAGACAGTCTGTCTGCCTTTGTCTGCCTACCTACATCTCCTATCTCCCAGTTTGCCTCCTGCGTGCCCGTCTACCTGCCTCCCAGTCTGCTGCTCTTCGTTAAACAAAGCCCCCGCTCGCTGCTCATCTGATGAAACCCGCCACGAGGGAGACGAGACGCAGCGGAGGCGAAAAGTGGCAAGTGGGAGGCGGAGGTACAAAGTCGGAGGATTCAGAACTCAAAGAGCCAAAGCAAAGCGTTTGAGTGAAACTCCGTCTTTGCTCCAACAACCGATGGAGCCCGCTCGACCGCCAGTGAGCCCTTTGACTATTGACTGAATTCTCAAAGGGGGAGCCGCTCTAATTGCAGAGCGAACGAGGCTGCCCCAGAGAATGGTTGATTAGGAGGTTGCTGAATGCCCCAGGGAAATGGGTCACCTCCAGCCTGGCACGGGCCGCCCGTTTTTTCCAGCACAGGGAGAAAGTCAATTACACGCTGCAGGCAGTGGGGCCTGGTGGCAGAGAGGCGGCAGGGCCATGCTGGGTACAATAAAGCAGTGGGAGGGCGGCAGGAATGAGATATGCACTAAGGGGAATGGGAGGAGAGTGTGAGGACAGTAAGATGAGGAAAAAAAGAGAGACGAGCAAAATAATGTCAATTTTGAATAGAGTGAAGGGCTCTGGACAGAATGAGGACTGGGAGGAAGTTTGTCTTCCTGAATGTGGAGTCATGTGGATTCAATTTGGCCCTGATGGGAAATAAAGTTAGATTTGGGTCAAGGGGAAGAAACAAGTTCAGATTTTTGCTGAGAATCATCCTTTGCCACATATAAATATCAAAAACAAATTAAACCAGCAGTGCTAAAACCTTCCATCAAAGATGGAGGTGTAGGTGACAGAACCAGCGGATGCAAATCACATGATGTTGGTGGAACTTTGGTTCTGATGGAAAGATCTGGGCCTTCAGTTGGATCTACTATTGTAGCTACCTAATAAATGCTTATGTTGAAAACACAACAGTCATGGTCTGATTACGTCACTTTACTTTCAGTTTCACAAATCAGACACTTGTTGAACAGGAAGTGCTTTCCTCCTTTTAATGCATCAAGTAAAAGTCCGACTAATGGTGTTTGTTTTTTTACAGTCATTAACATGAACAGGATGCCAACCCAACACTAAACTGAACAACCAACAGGGACAACCCATTTGAATGCATAACCTGAAACTGTGCACCCATTTCTGTCCCAAGACTACCCAGCAGCCTCTACGGCTCACCCAGTCTCCTGCATTCAAGTGCAACATGTAATTTTAAATATAATTGTAATAATAAAAACCATCAATGTAAACATAAATGGGACATTTAACCTTCATTTTTTGGAGCAACTACAATTTCAGTGTGGAATATTTGAATTTACAGGTTGCAATTGAACGCCTCGCAAATTTTCACATAAACAGCCTGCATGGGATTCCCGAAGGCTCAGAAAGTCCTGTGTTTTGGTCCCACCCACCCCATCAATAATGTGATTGGTTAATTTTCCTGTCAGTTATTAAACCCATCAGGAACAGACTTTGTATGAACTCAGCCTTCTCTCCTGACTGTGAAGTCCTAACCAATGAGAAAAAAACCCTTTAAACATGTTTCTGCTTGGAGACACACATTTAAAAGAATCTGATTGGATAAGAGTAATTTCATGAATTAAAAAGTTCATATGCAAAGTATAGTTTACAGCAAATAAGCAAAATATAAAAAAGCTACATTGAAAATATTTAATTTATACAAAATAAATATTAATTAGAAGGCCTTTAGGGTTCCCCACTTGTGTATTGACATCTAACTTACAGAACAGAGCTAAAGTTTGGTGTGCTCATAAAGAGTTATCCTTAACACATTTCTAAAGATATTACAATATTGCGTGAGGAGGAGCACAAAATCATCTTCAAGGTTTGACTTGCAATCTGTACAGCCCCCGTCTCTCGCACAGTGACTACTGGATACGGGCACCAGTGACCCCCGTGACCCAAAAAGAAGAAGTGGGTAAAGATGATGGATGGACAGACTAAAATAGCTTCAACTCCACCATTTCTCATCACTAGATGATAGTTTAAAACTACAGCATGAAAGGCGGCGGGCGATATGCATTCCTTTACAGAATGCTAGGTCTTTAAATAAAACGGCAATTGTTTACTTTAACAAAAACCTGAGCTATCTCTTTAAAGCATCAGATGACCTCATGTCAAGTCTAGGCAGTCCAGGCAGGATGGAGAAAAGTTTCAGGAGTGATTTGTGACAAAAGGGTGTCAGCAAAGGTCAAAGGAAAAGTTTACAAGACAGTGGTGAGACCAGCTATGATGTCTGGTCTGGAGACAGAGACATGGACAAAAAGACAAGAGAAAGAACTGGAAGTAGCAGAAATGAAGATGTTGAGGTTCTCCTTAGGAGTGACAAGGATGGATAAGATTAGGAATGAGATCATCAGAGGTACAGCACAGGTTGAACAACTGGGAGATAAAGTTAGAGAGACCAGACTGAGATGGTTTGGACATGACCAGAGGAGGGACAGTGGGTATATTGGTAGAAGAATGTTAGACATGCAGCTGCCTGAAAAAAGACAAGGAGGAGATATATAGATGCAGTTAGAGAGGACATGGAGGAAGTTGGAGTGAGGACAGAGGATGAAGAGGACAGAGTGAGGTGGAGGAGGATGACTCGCTGTAGAGACCCTGAAGAAGGAAAAGCTGAAAGAAGATAAAGAAGACCTCATGTCAAGTCTGCTCAGATGGTCTGTTGGCTTCAGAAGCCTTTGTTCACAGAAGACCCAGACAAGCCGGTCCTTTAGTGTGCTGGTTGTTTGTCCATGTAATAAATAAAGTTCTGTTTGACTTAACACTGAGTTTAATGCACTTTTTACCAGCTTAGAAATAACAGAACAGCATATGAATTCAAAAGGAATGAGAAATGAGTGGAAATCTTCTGCTGTATCCAGTTTCATCATAAGTCTCAGGATTTAACTTTCAGCCCAATCAATGGCATCGAATTTGAGTTTTAATGAGACGTTGTTAACCCGACTGGTTTCAAGCTGCCTTTGAGACAATATGAAACAATGAAGTAGCTCCCACCTTACAGAGAAGCCGCTCTGAACTTTTCCTCATTTTTCACCCTGATCTTGACCTGGAGGACTTCACGGGGCCACTGCCTTCACACCGGCTCGTATATATCTACTGAGTCGTTAGAGGACTGCAATGGGAAGATTATTTGGGTCAACGCAGCTGTGTCATCACCAGGTCTGAAGCTAAACTCGAGCTCTGACACAGAACCTGAGCCTATCAGTGACCCCCGGAGTTCAGCAGAACCACAGAGTTTAGAGCTTTACAGTAAAACCAGAGGAAACGGCTAACCTCAAGCTGAAACGTCAACAACACAGTTTCAGTTAAACACACAAGGCTGATCCACAGATGTGACATGTTTGCAAAGAGGTTAAATTCACTAATAAATGTCTAT